TCTGCCTTTCATTATATGACATAAGTGTAAATTTAAAATTCAAATATCTTAACTATGTTGACAATTAATTTTTAATTATTCTACGTTGAAATCGATATATATCTTTTATATTAAAATTTTATATATCCAATTTAATTCATATAATTAATGACAATTACTTTAAACAAATTTTACAGTTTACTCAACATTTCACAATCAAAGGGAATAAAAAAACATATATCGTTTGTCAGGATTTTCCCCCCAAATGATAATTGGATGACAAATATGAAATTATTTAATATTCAAACTAATCGGTGATCCTGATTTATTTTCAATTCACCAAACTATAATTATCAGTTTTGCATGTAATAAAGTTAACACTAAATATTTTGAAATACTAGATACCTTTCTTCCAATATTAAGACCTTGACAGGTTTTTTCAATGGGTTTTGACTTAATGCTAAGTTCTTTTACCCTGTATAATAGTAGCTATTTAATTACAAGCAAAAAAAAAAAATTTGATTATATAAATATGTCCGAAAGTACTCATAAATATCGATCAGTACAGGTGTATACCATAGGGATATTCACTCTATCTTGCAAACTTATTGCAAGTTGCACGAAATGCATAAATTACGCGAGCTTGTAATGGACAACAACAAAATACAAGTACAAAGTTTCTTGTAATTGTAAGAATTACATTATTAAAGTTTTAATTAAATTTTTTGTAACACTTACAACTAAACTCAACTGTTACAAGATTATAATTCTCATATTGTTTGTAGATATCAAAGCATATAAAGTTGTGATTATTACAATCAGTAATATTATTTTCATGCTCCGAAATCGTTCATTTCTTATTTTCAAATACTGGTGTTTAAAGGTCTGGAATGTGCTATGTATATGGTTTGCTGTATGCTGTTTCAAAATTATAATTCTTATATTGTTTGTAAATATCGAGGCATATAAAGTTTTTATAGTTATAGTGTAATGATGTGGTGCTGATGTTCCTAACTAAGATTTCTTATTAAACATAAAAGACTAATTTTTGAAATTTTAATGCTATAATATTATAATTTATCTACTTATAAACTATCTAACTTGTTACTTGATACTCAATATAGTAAATATACGGATAGTAAATATAGTTCGGATACACAAAACAATTTTATTAATTTCATACGTTAATACGTTAATTTCAAAATCAAGTAGAAGATTTAATTATAATTTATTTATTGTAATTAATGATTTTAATCATTAAACATATAGCTTATATGTGTAGATCATACTGTAGTTGTTTATAATCATATACAAATCATTTGGTTGTTTATAATTCATGTCTCCAACAGTCTCAAAGAAAGTAACACTTTTTAACACTGATGAGGCGAATTCAAAATAATTTGCTGTTTTTAGTTTCGGTGTAATTAGTTGTGCTCCGTCCTAGAGAGTTAAAAATTTAATTACAACATTAATTTTGATTAAATCTTTTTATTTAATTATAATTTAAATGCAATAATTATATTGAACGCTATTTTTTAGTTTTTATAGTTTAATTTGTGTTTGAGTTCAATACTTAGTGAAACAAAAGTAAGACAACTAAGAACATATTAAGTCGTGAAATTGGAACATGCATAAATATTGAAAAATTCTTTTAAAATTATAAATTATTATTATATTGACAATATTATAAACAAAAAATTGTTTCCTGTTTTAATATATGAATATGTATAGTTGTTAATAAAAGTAAAAAGTTAAAAACTATTAATTGAATGCAAGTTGAAATAAGATTGAACGCAGTTTTCGGTAGTTAGAAAACACCTATTAGTCAGAAGCACACTTACTTCGGCATAATAAACAAACACTTCATAATAAAAAACATATACATTATATTATCTAGCATAAAATATACTTATCTGACTTAAAAAAGTTTTTGCCGTCTAACAATAGCTCATATCGCAAAGTGATTCCTCAAATTTCATTATAATACATTTATTTTCTATAATTACAATATACTTTGCATAATAATATATTTTTCAGTCTAATCCAATTAAAGAAGTGCACTGCCTCTTTCAACATTTTTATTCAACGTGCACTTCAGCACACACTTGTAGGATTTAATATTAAGAGCGTTAGTGATGCTTAATTTTCGTCAATATACCCAGTAATTGAATGGGGAGTGTCAATGAATATCACACATGAAAATGAACAAAAAAATTCTTATTTAAATAGACCTAACATATAAAAAATAAGATTAATATTTTTAGTATGAATTAAAAATAAAAGAATTATAATTAAAAAATGTTTATATAAAATAAGAGTTAAAATAATTTTTTAATATAATTTTAAGTAATTACTGATATGTTTTTTTTCTTTTCAGCAGTACTTAACATAATAATTATTATTATTTCCTGTAAATGGAAAGTCAATAATATTATTGGTTCTTTTTATTAGTAATTTCGAAACTAAATAAACTTATAAGGTTCCATTTCAAAAAAAAAAATTGAAGTAAAGGAGCTCACGTCCAAATGCAGAAAATGCCCTCACAAGTATTACAAGATGGCAGTAACAATGTCAATGAGATCAAAGTTAAAACTGCTTACAATGGAGAAATTATGATAACCTATATCAATGAAAAAATTACTTATGATAAATTATGCCATGAAATTCGAGGGATTTGTCGTTTTTCACCTGATCAAGTAAGGCTCTTTTTGTTTTTTTTTTTTTGAAAGATCATTATAAATTACTATTTATTTGATCGTTTATTTAGCCTTTTACAATCAAATGGGTTGATGAAGAAAATGATCCGTGTACTATCCTAGATCAGTTAGGATTAAATGAAGCTATTCGTTTATATGAATTAAATCGTGATTCTGAGTTGGTCATACATGGTAAGTCAATGTTTGAAATCTTATTTATAGTATGTATAGCGTAAAATATTTAAAAAAATCACATTTCAAATTTACGTTTAGATCGTTATTAATTTAAGCAATATTAACAAATAAATTGTTGTATGTCGTAGACTTAAGAAATTCTTTAATATTATTTATTAAAATCATGTACACGGTATTTTTTAAAAAACGAAAATCGTGTTTTTTATAATTATTGTTATAAAAGAGATCGAAGGCAAATAAAAAAGAAAGATTTTAAATTTAAAAGTTTCTATTTAAAAACCTTGAATGTTTTAAAAATTGTTTAATTAAAAACTTTAAGCCGTATTATGTACTATATATGTTATGATTATTAATATTATTACATCTTATTTGATTATTTATCTCTATTAGCAATCCTTTGTATCTATGGATTTTATTAAGGATACACTTTTTGTGCTTACTCTATAAAGAATCTGTTTAGAGAGAATCAGCTACACGACCACTACTTAAATAGCATCTTCAGATTTTTTAATCATTCTAGGTAGTTTTAAATCCATCAAGTTTTATAAGTTAAAATGCCTAACAGAATTCTTAGGATTGCTGTAGTAACCTAAGTTACCTAAGCTTTACATTTTTCTTTGAAAATACGGTAAAAATACATATGCACGAACACCCATCGTCAGAGACATAGTTCTTTAAAAAAATTAATAAAAGTGAAAACCGGATGGAGAAGTCAATTCAACAGCTACCAAAGAATTAGCTTACATGTAAGAATTAACTTACATTTAACTTACAACTGCCCAAAACATTTACTTCAAAGTGGAGTAGCAAAAAATACTCTCAACTTTTACGAAAAAAAACATGTAAAGCAACAACACTACTCTTAAAATCTTCAGAGTTAGGGTTTACCTGTAAAAATTTTTACGTGTTAAGTTTTAGTGGAGCCAAATTCAAAAATCAGTCTATTGTGAATATTCACTGGAAATATATTGCAAAATTCTAGTGATCCGCTAAAATTATATAAGCATTTCATTTACTAATTAATACAAATACATACATAAATTAGTTAATATAAATATATAAGATAAAAATGCTAAACATTGCCCTACTAATATTCATTTTATTTTCTTTTATTTAAATTAATTAATTTTTAGTGTTTACAATTTTTATATATATAACAGTACAAAAATTATATATCAAAAAAAAAAACATTTAACATATTTTAAAAGTGATGCCAAAGCTGTTTTTTTTATAATTCTGAAAGCAAAAATTACGGCTATTGATAATAATGATAAATATCCATAGCAAGATCGACTTTTACAAATTTTCATAAATATGGATCTTTGTATGTATGTTATTGTATTTTAAAATGAATACTATTGTTTACCCAATAAATCTTTTAAAAGATTTTGTTCTTTTAGAGAAAAAAATATAGTAACCTTCAAATCCGGTATTATAATAAACCAGGAAATGTTAAATGGAGAATTCGCATGTCTGAAATAACCAATAGAAAGTAAAAATTTATTTTCTTTATAATATTCTGTATTTGGTGGGAACGAAATGGTTTCGTTATTATATAAATATTAGTTGTATAAATATTTATGAACATTTATATATATATAATTTTCATATTAGTATTAATATTAATAATAATAGTAGTAATATGGGGTAATTAGAGTAATAATGATTAAATTTTGACATCTATCGTTATAATTATTAATTAAGAGAATTCTTAGACTACATACAGCTATTTAAGATACTACTATTACATCTGTCGAACCGTTGATTCGTGTGTTAAAGCACAAAGCTAATGTTAAACTAATTTATCTTATTCAAAATTTGGGTTTAGTCAATTTTTGTTGTTTATTCGCATGCAATTGCATTTGCTGTACTAAAACAAACGCATAAACTGCAGCTATATAAATTTGCTGAGCTTTTTTAGATACTTATTTTTTTAAGCTACGATTTCTTATAATTATTTCTTATAATTCTTATTTTACAAAGAAGCTATATTTAAAATTTAGAGGGTTTTCGAACAGCAAAGAAAGAAAAGACATGCAAAAATTTAGTTAAATTATTGAAATTTATTTTTTTTTTAATTTTAATTTGATATAAAATTATTAAAAAATTAAAAATGTTTGTAAACTTATACGTAATGGTTTTTTTTATTATTGTATTGTATTTTATTTTTTATGTTTACATATATATATAAATATATATATATTGTAAAGAATGTGCCTTTTCCTTTAATTGGGATAAAATTTAGTGAAAAATAAAGTCAACTCAAACACTTTACTTGCATAAATGTACACATAATGTTGCACTTTAAAATAATGAAAAATAAACAATGAGATTACACAAAACCGCACTAATGCAACTTCCGTAAAAGTTGGTCATAAAGTGACAATGGAATAATAGCCACCTCCACTCTCACATTATCTGAAAATGTTTCGCTTTAATGTAAATACTGTAGACAGGATGGCTTAATGCATCGTCAGCATAAAAGTTCTAAGACCACAAATATTTTAAATGCAAAGGCCTAGATAGCAAATTTTTCTACATTTAAAATTTATAAAATGAAACTATTAAAATCATAAAAAATCGGTTTAATTTTATCATTCGTTGTGTGCTTTTAAATAAACATTATCTAACATTTTGTTAGCATTTCCATCTAAAAAAGTTTATTTTACGAGTATGCAATGAATGAAAATATAACGGAGTATGTTATCTATCTGTAAATAACTTAATGGAAATTTTAAAATATTTTCTTTTTTCTAATTTTTTTCCATAACAACAAAGATACGTGTAAAGTGAAATTAAACAGCTTTTAAGGATATTCGAAGTATGTAGCGTATATATAATATATAATAAATTATTATTATATGTGTGTTTGCAAATGGTATATATATTTTTACACGCAAGCATAATTTTTTTATTATTAACATCAGTTGTCTTAATTCCTTTACTTTATTTTATCCTTCTTACGTACAACACGATTTGCACATTTTCATTAGTTACAATGTACGAGGCTGGAATTTTAAGGCAGTTTTAAAGTGTAAGAGCTCGGTTACTGGTCCAGAGAAAAACAAAAACAGAAAACTTTATGTCGAATATATAAAGATTTACCATTAAGTAATGAAACAATGTGAAAGACAACATTAAAAGTGGTGGCAGTTGCTAAAAGGTTCCCTGTAATAAGAAAAACAAACATTTCCCCAACTCTTCTTCGCTATCTCAGCTGAACATGACCCACGTTTAGCATCAAGGCAAAAGTGTGGCTGTCATATAATTTAGAAAGATAATGCGGCCTGTTGGTGCGCAATGCTCATCGCTTTCTGAAACAGTTCTCTTAGTTTAGTGACAGAGAAATTTTAAAGATAAAAAGATACGAAAGATTTTAATTTTTTATGAATTTTGTGTGGTATTTTTTGTACTTGCGCATTTTAGAGAGAGAAACAACTAAATTTCATAAGACACTTGTTTTTAAAAAAGTTTTACTAAATTACCAGTCCAATAAAATTTCAAAACAAATAAAAAATTCGAAATTCACTCATATGTTAAATTAACGATGTTAACGATGTAAATCAAAAATTAAGTGTTTACACTACTGGTACGATCTTAATTAGCAAACAACGAACAAAACACAAAACGAAAAAAATAGTAAATGTCATAAATAAATTTCAAGATTTTAAGAGTCAAGTTTTGAAAACTTAATAAAATTTTATAATTACATACAATAAACAGTAATAAAATAATTAAAAAATTATTAAAAGTAAAATAATCTATGATTTTAAATAAATCGTAATTCAAAAACTTTTTATAAATTTCTATACATATTTCGACAAATTCGCTTTTGTCTTTATCAGGAGAATTCCTTTATCAGATTATAATGTGGGAATAGCTAATGTTATCCTACGTTAATTTCTAGGTATAATTCTCCTAAATAAATATCGAGATAGCTTTCTTTAAGCCAATTTCAAGATAACATTCTCCTAAGTCAATTTTTAAGCCAAGCTTTATGTATCCTAAGCTTTATAAGGGTATGATTTATATTGTCATGCATTATATTATGTACATTTTTTAAATTTTATATTTACAAATCTTTTTTAAAAGTTCAATTAATTTTATGGGATCAAAATTTATAAATGTAATCCACGTAGTCCACTAATTTTATTCATATGTCGATTTGATCAGTCTGATGTCGGACATCGTTAAATAAATTAAAAAGTATGATTCTTTAATCCCTGCTACACCAATATAATATAAAGGCGGAGAGTAGCCATAATCTTTATACTTTATGATATTGTTTTTTTAAATTAATATATATTATACATTAAAAATATGTATAATAACATAATAATACAACAAAAATAAATCCTAAAACAATGTAATAATCATAAATATATTTAATACAACATTTATTATTGAGAACAATCTATACAACGAAAATATTTTTTATATTGTCAGATTTGGCAATATAGCACTAATTTTGTTTGCCAACATGTTTAAGAAAAGTTGCAAGTACTTTCTTATATTGTTCTTTATAATGAAGAGTATTTTTGTGCTAGCTAATGGCACCAAAAACGCTGAAAACATGTATTAAGGACGAACCTACGAACAAATTTATAGAAAAACACATTTGAATGAAAAGACAGCAGTGAACATGTTGAAAATAAAGCAACAGAGATTAAGAGTGCTAGTTAATACCACCAAATATATTGAAATGGCATTAAAGTTAGTGCTGATTAACGGTAACAAAAATTCTACTTTTTGTAGAATGCCTGGTTTGTAGAAGGCAAATTTTTGTAAAAGCATTTACAATATTGAACAGTTTATTTAAGGATTATTATATATATTGTTGCGTACGTTCACAAGAATAGACGTGGTTGTGCACGATCGCTGGAACCCGATAAGTAATTAAATAGTAATCGACTCTAGTTTTAATAACCGTGTTTTAATTGCTCTTAGTTTTTATGTAACACTAACTCACAATTTTCTCCAATCATTATTATATATAAAACTTATTTTCCAACAAACTATGAAGTACTTAGAAAACTATTTCTAAGTTTACTTGGTTTCCAAATTCATAACAATATTGTTTTATTTTAAA